CCTGTTCAAATCAGATCTTGATCAATTTTGATGGTATCCAAAGCTATTCTTCTCCTGTAGAAACACAGGCAAAACCCCTACCCAAACATAACTGGTTTCCAAACTGAGGTCAATACATCCTTAAAGTACACTGGCTAATTTAGTTCAGAAGTTTTTTTTTTTTTTTTTCTATTGTCCAGTGCCTCTCTGCAGATGTTTTCCTTTCTCATTAACATTAGGAAAGTTTAAGGTTAGTAAAGCATTATTTAATCTGTTTTGGGGATTTTGGTTCCCCATGACCATTTATAGAGCATTTCCTTTAAAGCATGATTAGATCTCTCAACAACTTGTCCTGTAGGATTGTATTGTATACCAGTAACATGATTTATGTTAGAATATTTAAAAAAAACTATTTCAATTTACTGGAGACATATGCTGGAGCATTGTCAGTTTTTATCTGTGTTGGTATACCCATAATAGCACAGAATCAGCCTGTTCAAAATTCAGGGCAATTGCTTATTGAAATCCTGAAAATGTGTCTATTGTACGGTGTACATATGTTAATTTTCCAATTTCTTCAAGGTGAAACACATCCATTTGCCAAATTTCATTTCTGTATATACCTTTAGGGTTACTACCTGCTGGTAAAGGAGTTTGGTTATAGAAGGAACAAATAGGGAATTTTATTTTATTATTTCCTTAGCTTGTTGCCAAGTGATGGAAAAATCCTTTTTTAAACCTTTTCTATTCACATGGTGTTTTTCATGAAATTCTGAGGCCCCCAGCACACTTCCTATTAATAAATGATCAATTTCATAATCGCTTTGTGCTAGAGGACCTGACAGACCTGTATGGGATCTGATGTGTATTATATACACAGGATGAGTCCTATTCCTCATTATTTCTCGAAATTGTATAAACAATGAAGTTAATTCTGTATCAATAGGAATAAATTCAGCAGTTTCAATGTGTAAGATGACTCATGGTAGCTGGGAGTATGGTGGTGAGTCTACAGACATTGTGCTGAAGAATTCTACATTTGTAGACAACAGGAAGTGATATAAGATACTGGGCAGTGTTTTGAACATATATGAACCTTCAAGGCCTAACTCCACAGAGACATACTTCCTACAAAAAGAACACACCCACTACAATAGGACCAAAAATGCCACTTCTCTTGAGGGTTGGCTATTTTCTTTACATTCCATTCGTGACTCCAAACGCTTGTAGAGATATCATAACACAAAAATGTATTCAGTTCAACTTGGAAAGTTCCCTAGCCTTTAACACTCTCAAATTCATTTAAAAGTACAAAGTTAAAAGTCTCTTATAAGATTAATCTTATCTTTTAACATGTAACACCCTGCAAAATAAATATAAAACAGTAGATCTCATACTTGCAATATACATTGGCACAGGATATACATCACTGCTCCAAAACATAGGGAAGGGAATAATATAGTGAGGAAATACAGGACCAAAGGAAGATCAACAACCAACTGGGCAAACTCCAAACTGCATCTTCAAGTCTGATGGCAAAATGTTCTTCAAAACTCCTTTTGGTTTTTTGGACTGCAACATACTTCTTTGTTTATGGCTGGTTACACTTCCTGTTAGTAGCTTTTCTCAGCAGGTATCCATGACTCTGGCATGTCCAACATCTTGGAGTCTCCAAGGTGAACTTCACAACTTTATGAAATGAAAGCCTAGAAGGCTTTCATTCTGGGATATCACTGATACTTAACTACTTTAACCAGCCTTAACTGCTTTCCTCAGTTGCAGAGGCAAATTTCATAGCCCTTTTCTTCTATTTGAAAGGCTGTTTTGCATTTTATAGTTGAGTTGTTGGATCTTCATTACAGCTTGAGGCTTCTTAAATGTTTCAATCTTGTTATTGAATACTTTTCTCATATTCTGGATTTTCTTCATCATTTCCATTATTCTTGGGCATTACCCAGCCATTTATTCTCCTTAAACTCTTTTTATTTGATTTCATTAAATCTTTCCATGAGTCATCTTTGCTCCTTGAGTTATTTGATGAAGTTTATGGTCTTTCTATTAAATTCATTGTCCTATTTTCCATTTAGTTAAAACTCATTAACAAGTCTTTCTATAGAACTGGTAGGTTTTGGAGAGAAAATAATGGCTTGATCTTTCATATTGCTGGTATATTTTTGTGATGAGATGTGGGAGTATGGAATTCTTTGTTAGTTTCAAGCATGCATGTATGTCTGTGTACCATATGCTTGCCTGATGCCTATGAAGGGCTTCAGATATCCTGGAGCTGGAATTATGGACAGTTGCTGTTAGGATGTTGATGGTGTGAATGAAATCCAGATCTTTACAAGGGAATCTAGTTTTCTTGTCAGCTGAATGACCCATCCAGCTCTCATTTATTGTTCACAAGTGTTTCCTATTATGCTATTCTGTTTTTGTTCCAGGGCCTCTTCTAAATACTATTTAATAATTTTGTAAATAAATATATGGCTTGATTATTTTTAAATTATTAATTAAAGAAACAACATGTCTGTCTGACTTGAAGCTATACAGTTTTATGGTAATGAAAAGGATGTTCTTCATTTCTTAGTAATATCTAATAAATTTTCCTAGAATTTAATATCATTAAATTGAAGCATTTGATATAGATACCAACTGTGAAAACATTTTTGTTTCTTTCCTTTCAATTCCAAAATTATAAGAAACAGCTTTACCTTTCCTTACTTTTCCTTTACCATCCCTTCTTCATCTTTCCTTGGTCTTTTCCAGAAAAACTGACATGATTCCCTTATTTTTTCACCATTGCAAATTAAATCAAAAAGAAACTAGAAAAAAATTAGATGTTTCTCATTGTATTTGTTGAAGAGATTTCTCTAATGTTATAATGTGGCATGTACTTTCTTAAGTGAAAGTGTCTGTATGAGACAAAAAAAAGTTCTCAAATATTTACAACCTTTATGCAACATTTAAATAAGTCTAGTGATATGCATGGCATGTAAATGGAAATCACACAGAATTCTGTAAAGCTTTGTGAATTTATTTATATTGTTTTCTTATTCAGTCTACGCTGATACTCAAAATATTTACCAAAATTGATAGTTCAATTTTCTGTATTTTAAACTTACTGCTTAAAATTGATTTTATAGAATATTACCATATGATGTTCTGCATTATATGTGATGATATTTCTTGCATTATTGTTGTAAGGGAATATTTCAAATTATTTCAAAATCCATGTAAAGGCAATTTAGTTAATTTTGAATGTCTCATATACACTGCAATATACAGCAGTGAATGCTGCATTTAAATTTGTATGCATATGATGACATCACATACAATGTCATCTTATTTCAAGCAATTGTTACACCAAAAATAAAAATAAACCTGTTGTTAGATGTCTAGAAAGATTTTTAGAGAATTTTTCAATTCCCTAAACATCCATTAGTTTCAAGCAGCAGGCATTTGCTGTTTGTTTAAGGTAGTAATTTAATTCCATGAAATGTTTCCATCTGATGCCACTTGACAATTGTATTTTCAAATTTCTTTGCTTTGTTTTAAATGAGAAATTGAAGCACAGTTCTTTAAGTGGTGCAACATTAAACCTCAGAATTTTTGCAAACATTCTAGATAACCTTATTTTTTGTTTTCTTCTTTTAAGGTATGTTGAAATTAGTTTTATGACCTGTAAAAGTCTTCCTAATCGATTTATGTCAACTGTGAAGTCTTATGTCAATTATTTATTGAAATATTTTATGTAATATAAAAACATTAAAATTGAAAAATATCTAATGACCAACTAGTGAAAAGCTGTAAATGTCAGATTAATAAACTAAGCTTAACAGCATTAAACTCTAGTCAACTTTATCCTTCAGTATTTTTAAAATAAATTTTTGTTTAAATTGGAAACAATCTTATTTTACATAGCACTCCCAGTTCCCTTTCCCTCTTGTGTTTTTTACATTAAGAATATAGTGATGCTAAGCTTTTTGATAAAATACAAATGTCATAATCATTCCCTTATTGCCATATTAAAAATTGTGTTTTTTTACCAGTTGGATACACTTAGTGAAAAAACATACTGGCCAAAGAGAATAAGGGGTGCCAGAGTGCTTGTCCCTGAATGAGACGGCTACATCTCTGTATTGCTTAGTGAACATCACATAGGAGGGGCCAGAAAATAGTTAAGGGTTGTGCTAACTGAGATACAGAGTGAAATCATGTCTTGTGCACATGACACAGATTTTGAATTCATGAACTCACTGCATCTATAGTTGTCTGTATTAGAATGCATTAGACTTGGCTTGCCAACATTCTAATGTGTATTGGGACACCCTCTGAGACTCTATTATTTCCTGAAGTAAAGAAATCTACTATCGTTTTCTTGAATGCTGCAGCTGTAAATAACACATTCAAATTCCCCTAAACAACCTGTAACCCAACTTTGAACAAGTAACTATTGTTAAGCTCAGTGGATCAAACACCAAAGAAGAAAAAAGAAAGATGTTGGAGAATAAGGGTTTAAGATAGAGAAGGAAGGTCATGAGGAAATTAAAAATGGATGTGAGAATAATTAAAGTACATTATACAAATGTATACAAGTGTCATATATTAGAAAGCAAAGCTAAATTAAAAAAACTGTAATTTCATAAAACATAAGCATATGCAAATACTTTAAAATATCAGAATGTTTATTATTTAATAGGGAATTCCACAAGAATGGTTAAAGTCCTCATTTTGTACTTACTATACTTTCTTCCATGCACCATATGTCTCTTTAGATATAACTTCGGTTCTACAGACACCAAATCTGCTTGTATTTTGCAATATGCTTGCTGTTATGTTCAGAATACAGTATCTCCTGAAGAAGACCATTCTCCACTAGTGCAAGTATGATACATGAGAATTTGATTAGTACCAGCATTCATGAAGTTAAATGCATGTACACTGGTGTTTGTACATTCTGGAGGAAAGCAGAATGGGTCCATATTCAAACTTTTTTAAATGATTGATTTTACAAGCAATCTTTAAGAAAATATTCTGCATATTCTTTGCCATGTTCTTTGTAGGGCATCTTTAACATCTTTGTTCCTCAGACTATAGATCAGAGGATTCAACAAGGGGATAATTAAAGTATAAAATATGGATGATATTTTATCAGTATCAATGGAATGACTGGATTCAGGTTGTACATACATAAATATCAATGTACCATAGAACACTGTGACCACTGTTAGGTGGGACCCACAGGTAGAGAAAGCTTTGCGTCTGCCCTCAGCAGAGTTCATCCTGAGAATGGCTATGAGAATGAGCAGGTAGGACATAAGAACCACCACAAGGGAAGAAATCAAATCAAAAGCTGCAAATATCATAACTGTAAGTTCAACATCTTGTGTATTTGAGCAAAGCAAAGACATTAATGGGATACAATCACAGAAGAAGTGATTAATGACATTGGAGCCACAGAAGGATAAAGAGAAAATATTTATGGTCACTACAAGGGACATAAATGTACAGTAAAGGTAGGTAACTATGACTAGGATCCAACATACTTTCTGTGACATGATTACAGTGTAGAGCAGAGGCTTACATATGGCCACATAACGGTCATATGACATTGCCGACAAAATAAAAAGCTCACTACCAATAAACAGAAGAAAGAAAGCTAGCTGTGTAGCACAAAGATAATAAGAGATTGTATTTTGATCTACAACAAAGTTTACCAACATTTTTGGTCCCACAGTTGTTGAATAAACAAAATCAGTAAAAGCCAAATGTTTAAGGAAGAAGTACATTGGTGTCTGGAGTTTGGCATCTACATTGGTGAGGACTATGATCCCCAAGTTGCCAATCACTGAGATCAAGTAGACAATGAGGAATAACCCAAACAATGGGGCCTGAAGTTCAGGGTTGTCAGTGATGCCCATTAGGATGAATTCAGTCATCACTGTGAGGTTGTGTTTCTTCATTCTTCTTTATTGTAAAATCTGTTATTAATAGAAGGAATACAATATTAATTTTCTTACAGAATTTATCACCTCATGAACATATAATGTGCACGACTATAAGTAAGAAACAACATTTCCAATTTAATATTTAAAAAAATGCATTTACTCACAGGAATATGAAGATAAAGAGCCATGTTAATTTGTATCTCTCTTTCATTGTAATTTTAATGAAAAATGTTTTACTACTTCAAGAAATTGTTAGACAATCTCAAAGTAAACACAAATTGCCACTGTCCTCTAATGGCTTGCAGCCAATTTGTCTGGTAAAAACCACACATAGTTATTATTCAGTTCCAATCAATAACCATACCAATAATTCATATATATTTTAAACTGCTATTGTTATATACTTAATAAGTGATAAAGATAGATAGATTGGTAGATAAATAGATATATAGATACACATACAAGCATAATACAAAATGCACACATATATAGATGGTGAAAGAAGATAAATGCAGATATGAGAATATAAGTAAAAAATTAAAGCAAAATTATGATTACATAAATATTAAGACTTCAACTGTTACATAAATGTCTAATGTATTTTCATTGCTCTGTTGTTTTTCATATGTTTCCATTTCAATTAATACACATGTCCATTCTTTTAAATTTTCTAATGACAAGGTACAAAAAAATATATACAAGTGCCTGAAGCAATGTTTTTTCAGTAGAAATACACCTTGCTGCTATAGAGTATGCAAGGTAGGTTTCTAGCACTCTTGCCACTTGGATATTTTATAAATACTTATATTTATAAAACATAAAATTCCTCTTTATAGTATAGCCTTCTAAAATAGTTGTAGCAGGTGATGCACTTGAAGGTGTCTTGGTAAACACTGGAAAGATGAATAAAAATCAGCATACTTGCCTACAATATTTTCTTCATATGGAGAAAGAAAGCACTGATAGATGAACACAGAACTGGTGCTTGTACTTAATAAAGATAAGAATTGCTTTACACAATTAATTTTTCATACAACTCTGCCACATATTCCAAAGATGACTTTGCAGCATTCTTTGGAAGAATGATTTGGTATTTCAGTATTGAAGTGGTATCATGAAATCATTCTCAAATATTATTCACATTTCTGTTTTTTATAAACTGAGGTTCAAATCTAGGAATTTGCATATAATTGCCAAGCACTTTATCTGTGAGCAACTATATCTACTTTTGTGCTTTTAAGAAGATTTACAAGCAGAGTATCACTGTATAAACCAGGGTACACAGGAACTTGTGATCTTTTGTCTACTTTCTAGATTGCCTGTACCATTACTGTGAATTTAGTCATAATATTTGAAAGACGTATTTTCAACAAATAAATTTGCACCCCCCATTTTCTTTTGGAAAATGGTTTGTCAGTGTAGAGGAAGGACTATTAGTAATTGATATATGTTGCTAAAAGGAAAAATTATTTTTCTCTCATGGAATGACACTGGATATAACAACCACATTCCAGGGCAGGTCATGTACTCAAGAAGAGTCTTCCAACACAAAATGAACTCAATTTTTTTTTTGTGTGTGTGTGCTTCCTTTGTTACAGTTTGCTCTTTTATGTCTTTTAATTTTTTAAGGTTTTAATTTTTGGGTTCACTTCAATTTTTTCAGGGAGAGAACATAAACCTGGGTAGGTAACGGTGTGGGGAAGATCTGGGAGGTATTGAAGGAAGGGAAAAAGACAATAAAAATACATTGTATAAAATTTAAAAATATGAAAAATGATAACAATATGGAAAACAATGGTATGAGAAAATAACACATCATTATTTAATTTCCCAATCATTTTCTGACTTACAGCTTCCATGACTGCCATTAAGTTGAAAATCAATATATTTGATTTTCAATACTTGCCACCTAATATTTATAAATGTAATATTATTTCACGTTGTATTTATATCATTTTACTGGAATATTATTCTATCTGTACAGGCATTTTCATTACACCTGATGTTTGTTTATTTTAATGCAAAAAACTATTGTACTTCATTGTGAAAGAAATTAAGAGATTGAGACAAAGTAATCAAATTATGGACAAAGAACTCTCAACATTGTATGTAATGGAGATCCACAAATTTCCCCTTGGATAGAGGGACACTCTAATTTAAAAGAGAAGCCTGAAGCCAAGTTTTATGGCTCAAACCTGTAGTCCCAGCTCTTGAGACATGGAGGTAGTAGTATTTGGAGTTCAAGGTCATCATTCTCTATAAAAAGAATGTGAAATGAATCCAGACTGGGCTACATAAGCCCTGTATCAAAAACAAAAACAAAAAAAGGAAGGAAAGGAGTGGAAAAAATGAAACAAATGTGGTATTATAATTTTTTGAAATTTTATGCTGTATTGTTATTGTCATATAAAAGACAGTGTTTTTTGACTACTCTAATCATTGCTGTATATATTTACAATAACTGTAGGTAACTAAATAAAAACAAGAAAATTTCCAACATTATATGTGGAATAGACTTCCAATTGTTTCTACTTACTTCACATAACATGTTTCTTAGATAGTTGCCCATACTTGGTGGTTCACCCTCTCCCATCCAGAAACCTTTGTTATATAAATACAGGAAGGATATACTTTCACAATATTAGAAATGAATATTCCAAAAACTTCAGGAGGAAACTATTTAAATTTTGCATTTTCTTTTATTTTGCTTTATTTTATAATTATTAATAATAATAATAATAATAATAATAATAATAATAATAATAATATGTGACTAGCATGTACCAGGAATCCTGTATGGTAAAGGAATGCACATATTCTTAACCTTAGTAGTTTTAGAGTTTAATTGAATGCAACATACTGTTTTTATTATTTTCCAATTAATCAAATTTATTTTCAAACCTACAGTCCTAGAAATTTGTCTACAGATCACTGTACAAAGTAAAGAATATTTTATCATTGCCAATAAAGTGATTACTTAAAATTCTCTTAATAGAAATAGTTGCCTTTTCTATGCCAATATGATGCAAAGCACTTGTTTAATATGAATGTATCATGTATTCTCATCATTGCAATTACCTACATACTTTATGTTTTAAATTATTTTTGAGCTCTTATAAAAAGCACTGTAATCACAATGCTTAAATCTTGATAATGCATTAAAATGACAGAATTTCTGCCTTGAAAATGATCATATGATTTAATATTATATCATCTCTTTTCATACTTGTATGAATCAGATTTTATATCACATATATAAAACATTAAGCATTTTATGAACAGGTGAAATATGTGTGCTTCAAAATTACTTATCAACTTTTCTCTCTAAATAAAAATGACAGGGGGGTCTTCTTATTCAGCGACCATGGAGTAGAAGAAATGACAGGAGCAAAATACAAAAGAATAGCCACATTTGATCACAGAGACAAAGCAAACTGTGAACTTTTCTATTGGTCCTGATATCATAAACGTACTCCATCCCTTACCTATGATGAAAACTCCTCAATGATTCTTCCAGGCACAATTTAACACAGAATGTTAAATGGTAGCTTAAGAATATTTCTTCAAACTCTAAAGAGTCTCCCCGTGGATGTGTCAGGCAATTCCTTGATTATCCCACAATGTCAGAATGCTTAATGAAATATCTGGAGACTGTCCTCTAATTGTCAGGAAGAATTTATATTTCACTTTGAATAAATGAATATTATTAGACCACCTAACAAATGTTTGGTTTTATCTATAATTATTTGATTTAGGAGCTCAAAGAGATATTTACAATATCAAATTCATTGTAGCTCAATTCTAGCTATAAATTAAAAACAACTTAAATATAAAATGGACATATAAAATGTGCTAAATATAGGCACTGGAATATTATCCAGTCTTAAAAATTATATCCTATAATGTGAAATAAATGGGTTGAATTTTAACATAAAGGTGAGTTACAGACAATTGTCAATGGCTACATCGTATCCATTTAAGCCATAGTCAATAGAAAGTTTCTGAGATTCAGAGAGTAATAGCAAGGGATAATATTAAAGTTTACCCATTTTTTAAGCACCAGAGTGGCGCACAAAAGCCCTTGACTCCAGTTTCCATGATGCTTTTGTGTGGAATCTATGGTCACTGAAATGCACTTTATTCACATGAACACTGGTATATTTGTGTATGTGATCACACACACACACACACACACACACACACACACACACACACACAAATTAATTGAACTAACTAACTAACTAACTAACTAACTAACTAAATAAATAAATAAATAAATAAATAAATAAGGGGAAGTAATATTATGGTTTGTATTTTGAACCCTTTTGTACATTTTAAAACAAATCTTTCCTCATTTACTGTGTTTTACTTAGGGAAATTTCCATACAAATTTACTGTCCATTATTTAAATAATTTGCATTTACTCACTGGCTTTAGGTGTACTTTATATTATGGACTATAACTGTCTTTAAATTTTATATATGGAAAGTATTTCACCCCACACTGCAGATCAACAGTTCTCACTATGTGAGCCATGACCTTTTTGGGTCAAATGAAGCTTTCCCAGGAGCTGACTAAGACCAGAAGAAAACAGGTATTTTTTTTTTATTAGTTCAAATTAGGAAAAAGCTTGCTTCACATCTCAATTCCTTCTCCCTGTCCTTCCCCCCCAACCTCTCACCTGCCCTTATCCATTCCCCCTCCACTCCTCAGGGAGGGTAGGGCCCTCACGGGTCCTCCCCAAATCCAGCACATCATCCTGTGCCAGGAATAGGCCATGTTCCATGTGTCCAGGCCGAGAGAGCATCCCTTCGCATGGGATGGGCTCTCAGAGTCCCTTCTTACACCAGAGAAAAATACTGATCCATGACTGGGGGACCCCATAGAGTGCTGAAGCCTCCTCATTGACATCCATGTTCAAGGGTCTGGATCCGTCTGGTGTTGGCCTCCCAGACAGCAGTCTGGGGTCCATATTCTCCCCCTTGTTCAGGCCAGCTGTTTCTGTGGGTTTCACC